AGAGAACGCCACACTCGAATACCCCGTAACCCTGCAATGCTTTTCATTGAACATCAATTACGCTGACATGATTTGCCAGCTCAGGAAAACAGAAGAAGAGAATAAAGAGAAAGATGCGACGATTCTTAGTCTAATAGTCAACTACCTTGCGAAGATGTTTCTTAAAATGTGTCTACTCCCTTAAGCCTTCTTTATATTGATGTTAAAATTGTTTCGCTGTGGGCGCAACGTCGACTCCGAAGAATCCAAACGGTTCGCCCAACAGGGTAGTTGTTGTTTTCCCATTTACCTTTATAATTACTTAAAATTCACATTAAAACTTTTCCAAAGTACATTGCAGAGCTTCGAGTGGAGTTTCAATCTCAGCCATACAGAGTCGAACCGCTCCTAATGAGGCAGACCCGTGAGTATTTCTTTTTTTCTAAGTTACTGCCAACCAAATACTTCCGTTTATAAAAAACGTAGGCAAATTTCAAGCGAGCCGGTTGTGGTCACCGTCTGTGACAAATCCTATGAATTTCCGGTCACGCTGAGGACTTTCCTAAAGTACATCAACTATAAGGATATAGTGGGGAAGTTGTGTAACAAAAGCAACTGTACCGACAAGCAATTCATAGGCCGCTACTACCGCTCCTTCTACCTGGATCAGAAAGTTAGGAATGCCTTCGCATATAAATTCAGTGAGAGGACCCCTCCTAAGTTACTGGAAAAGCTAAATGCATTTGCGATTCCCTTTAAAGGAGATAAAAACACTGACAAAATTTCCCTTACAGGGTAAGAAATTTTCAAAGAGGCCTCTCAGGGACAGGGTTTTTCTCTCAGGGGTTTAATATGAAAAATTTTTAATTTGAATGCATTTTAAATGTAATTATGAAATGGTTTGTACATTGCAGGTCCTCGATTGAAGTTGCAATCTCAGCCAAACAGAGTCGAACCGCTCCGAATGAGGCAGACCCGTAATTACTTCTCTATTTTTGAGTATCTGCAGATTTTGGTCTAAATATCTTCTTTTTCACTTACAGGACAGTGGAAAAGACAACGCAAAATTTGCCAGAGTTGATAAAACCACTGCCAGATCTGGAGCAAGCCGAAAAACCCAAATTGGTGGAAGAAACGGTTGTTGCACCTGTCAGCTTTCAGTTCTTCAAAAAGTACATCAAGAATCTGGAGGAAATCAGCGAGCAAATGCGGAGCGAAGACGGGTTTAAGAATTTATCTAAAGAGAACTGTGCCAGGGAATACTACAGGCTGTTCTACAGATCGCCCGAAATACGTGAGCGGTTCCAGTTCAAACTGAAACCATGCCCCGGAGCGGTACGCGAAAATCTGTTGAGTCTACCGTCCAGCTCAATTATAGCCGTCAGCGGGGAGACACCTATGGAAGAACCAAAAGCAACCAATAGCTCAAAAATCAGCCAACCACATCCCAACGACCGATCGAGCCTACCGTTTACCAAACGAGCCGCAGAACCCCCTTCAGAGAACGCCACACTCGAATACCCCGTAACCCTGCAATGTTTTTCATTGAACATCAATTACGCTGACATGATTTGCCAGCTCAGGAAAACAGAAGAAGAGAATAAAGAGAAAGATGCGACGATTCTTAGTGATTATCAGTTGATGGAACGCTTCTACAAAGAATTTTACACAGATGAGGGAATTCGGAAGAAATATAACTACAATTTTAACAAAGCGACACCCGCGTTGCAGCTGAGGCTTCTTAGGTTTGCCAAGCGGGTTGTCCCATCAACAACAAAAGGGTAAATGGAAATATTAATGAATTTTAAGTGTAATTTTGAAAAGGTTTCTACATTGCAGAGCTTCAAGTGGAGTTTCAATCTCAGCCATAAAGAGTCGAACCGCTCCTAATGAGGCAGACCCGTGAGTATTTCTTTTTTTCTAAGTTACTGCCAACCAAATACTTCCGTTTATAAAAAACGTAGGCAAATTTCAAGCGAGCCGGTTGTGGTCACCGTC